CATGTTCGACAGTTTCCCAAATTTGGAGGGATAGACGAGATCCGTTGATGTCGAGAACGTCGGAACGTATGCCACCGAATTGGCCATAGCGGAAATATTCGTCTCGCAATCAATAACGTGCTCCCAGGAAACGTGATTCAATGCGCGTGGTGCAGTGCGTCGGGCCTTCGTTGGAAATTAAGGGTGGTTTATTTCGACACCGAGAACGCGTAAATGTTGCGGAGGATAATGGAAGATTCGCCTCCGAAGGCCGTCGCTCGACGCTGACGTACGCGAATAAATTGAGCGAACGCAAAGTTCATAAATAAAAATAGGATTTGTACAATGTCTAGCGACACCGGTTTTTTTTTTTTTTTTTTTTTTATGAACATTCTCGCGAAGCAAAGTCGATTTCCGACTTTTTTATAGTGTTACGTCACGTTCTACTCGTACACAGACGCACGAAAGTATTCGAACGACGACATATTTATAATTATTATTAGTTCTTTCCTTTCTTCAAACTAGCCGCGTACGAACAGAGCAACCTCTATCTACGATTCTAAGAAACGTAATCGGTACTAAGATTCCAGGAACAGATCGAATGCTTCTATGATCTACGGATCGGTTGCTAGATCTAGGACTCTTTTCAACTAGGATACGAAAATTGTAAGTAATAGATACTTTCGCGTGGCTCTGTATGTTTTATCACCGCGTAACGAGTCGCGAGGAGAGCTAGACAACCTAATGTCACCAGCTTGGCACGATCGTTGATATACCAATCCCGTGGATCGCTACTTCCTTGACCCCAAAAATAGTCCTTGGTCGAAGGCAATTAAACACTCGCGACTTCTATTCCCATCATCGTTGTCCTCCAAACGCGATTGCTGGATCAGCGAAACGAGTGGTTCAAGTTCAAACGAAACGTATGACGAGACTGGTCAATTCGTCGTCGACGACGCGACCCTAATTGCTCGATGAAGGAAACGATAGATCGAGAATGAAAAAGAAAAATCCATTAGCATTTTGGAAGCGTTTCAAAACGAAAAATGCATGAAAGCTCGCGTTTCCTGACCAAACGACGGTATTCTATTTATCACTGTCAAGGCCACCTATGCAACCGGATCGTCTCCGCAGTCATTGTTAAACTCATTTCCGTCGCTCGATTGCCCGTGAGTGCAGCGAAAATTTAACCAGCAGTCTGCAAGACCCCCTTGCCATCGACGTGGCCCCTGATGATATTGCACCCAGAAGAGGGCCATTAGGGGGGTACCGATAAGTAACGTCGTCTCCTTGCATTCGTGCAAAACGCAATGCATTCGAGTTTTACAAAGAGAGATCGGAAACAATTTTTTTTCAAGCGAACTTTCGGTACGAGGGGCCCTTGAACTTCTTCGATCTAAATTCGAAGCAACGCCAAACCGGCGTTTCCTAGCTCCATAAACTTGCCAAGATCGCTTTAGTAACCTTCTCGTTAAGCCCGTAAATCGTTACGTGTCTAACATGCACATCGTCTATATCGTACGCCGACGGATGCAACGATTGTTGGCGAACCGACGGTTTTAAACCGACCATTTCGCTAACGGATCTTGTTTCCCTTTCTCTGTCGCTTATCCGGGAACATTCCTTCGCGAATCATCTCACGATTCCCGGGGTGATGATTCATCCGAAGATAAAAAGCGCATCCGTATCCACAATAAAAACAGAACCGCTACGTCGCGTCGTTCGGGCTAGCGTGTCTGTTACCGTACCGATTCCAAACTGCTACAAATCCCTGTATCGTAGCCTTCGAGATACAACGAGGTCGTAAATTTCTTGGAGACATCAACGCAAGCACGTTTTCACTACCGAAACTAACTAAGCGACATGAACAGACGAAGATATAGACCACCAACCCGTTAATGCGATCTATTTATTACCGATACATGAAATCAATGTTTTGACGTCTTAAAAAATTTACGATCTCGTTGGGTTCCACCAGGACGAGGATTAAATCGAGTACGATCGTAATGTTTTATCCGGCCGCGGAATTAACGGGGGTTGAGGTAGAGGAAGAGATTAACGAGTCCAAACGCGAGGCGTCCGTGGCTCTATGAATAATTACAGCGTCGTTGCTGCATCGTAGGTACTTACAACGCCGACCTTACGCCACTTTTCACCGAGTCATTTCCAGGTACTCGAATTCAATTCATTCCGTGATCGCGTCGGGTCGGAATTGTTTCAAGTTACGAAAGCCCTCGAGAGTCGAACGCCTACGAGCGATGCCATCAAAATAGTTCTAATACCCTGATGACGTTCAATGAATTCAAATGTCCTCTGCCGGGTTTGTCGACCAAAAGGGAGCTTGTGTCAGTGATCCGGCGCTCCGGGTGACTGAACCAAGAGGAAGAGCTCGTTCTAGACTTTACCTCGTCTTTTCGTACCGTTCGAAAGTTAAGATCCAAGTAAACTACGGTCAAGAGGAAAGGGAATACGATAGAATGTTTCGAGGAGTCTGATTTTCTTAAAAGCAATTAGAGGTTTCCGGTTTAAAAGAGTCGAGAAGACGAGATTAAAAATTTCGAGATCTGAAGTTACCAAGAGTCAATTGACGACCAAGATGAGCAATTTGAAGTCAAAGAAACTGTTCGATACCGAAGAATAAATATTTGGTGGGAATCCCTTGCAACCGGAATGATTATTTCCGGCTGCAACGGGAAGAGAAGCAGAGTGTTAGGCGACTAGCCTCGGGTTTATCGAGATACAGAAGATCTTTCCAGCTGACGTGGCTCGTGGCCGTATAGTATGACCTCCGTCGGTCTACTTTACGAAGGCAGCCTCTGAGTGGGGGGTACATACACCTTTTACCCTCTTGCTATTCCACGGTATATGATCTCTAAATGCTTACCTCATCCAAGGATAGTAAGAACATTAATACGCTTCCAAGTAAAGAGCTAGATTCTCTTTCTGCGTTAACGGAGTAAGAATATGAGAGGAAGAAAAATGAAAACGAGGCAGGAAAAGAAAAGCGATCCCGATGACCGCGTCCTTCGCACTTTGTCGGCGCGTAGAGATAGAGTGGCGAGCTAACAACTAATGGGGGAGAGTACGATGATGTGAACCAGATTATGAAAATCAGAGCGAACCACGTAGGTTAAAAGCTCGTTGCGGCGCGAGCGATAATGATGTCACTTTTATTAGCCTCATCAGGGTCGAAGCATCCTCGACAGGGGATCCACTATTACCTAATAACTGACGCGATCGTGTAGTGTATCTTGTTACCCATGGAATTTGCATCTATCGACAGGTCGTCTCCGTGCAAGTTGCACGACTCGCGTGATCGATTCAAAAGGCTCCCCCTCTGCCCCCCACGACCGGTTTATTAATTTTGTTCTGCTCCTTATTTTTATTTTTTTTTATTATTCGCAAACTAAGTACGAAGTAATGTTCATCGAACGATTGTTTTTCCTTGAAATCGAAATTTTTTCCATAACAGAGTCCTTCGTTTAATTTCAGCAGTATCTGCTAGCTCATTTTAATTCCTGCATAAGTGAATTTAATCAATTATGCATAATTGATTCAATTTTTACTTGGAACTTGCGTGTTTACACTTCAGTTAATAGCACGATTCGTTATTCAAATGGGAATACTTTGTTACTTTACGCGTGCAATTAGGATATTATTCATTAGGCGTGCCTAATGTGTCGAACTCAATTATCTTTTATTTTCATCCGACGCTATGCATTTCATTAACTTAATCGAACGTAAATACAGTTCAATTATATACATATACTGTTATTGTTTACGGAGCCATGTTGTTCGTCCCGGATTCCTATTTATTTTTCGCGATATAAGGCAAAACGTAAACGCTGAATATTGAATCTCTGTACGAATATTCCTTGTATCGAGCTATGCAACAAATGATAAATCAACAGCTTCGACCTTATGAACAAACAAACTACTTTCGTCTTTAAAATTAACCATTAACCTTTAAGCATCTAATGCTCGATCAACTTTTCGGTTCGTTAAACATTATATAAAAAAAAAGGTCATTTTAACCTCGAGGCTTGTTCACCTTCGACTTTCAAACTATTTGAATCTAGGATTTCGTCAGGATTAAATGTCAAGCGATAAATAATAATCGATTGCGTGTTTACACCTTTAAAGAGATTCGTTTCTTTAATGAGGAAATTGTTTCGATATCGTCGCGCAAGTTGTACGCCCGATGTCGGGCACATTTTTGGCACGGAATGTACCTCGTAAGTATAGGACATCTTGTTTCCAAATAGTCTTCGTAAATATATTCGATAGATTCTAAATTTCGTGGTTACTTAGTGCAGAGATGATTTAATAAAAATGCACCTTTTCTAAGGGCAAGGTATAACGGATACGCAAATATCACAACTGGAGGAAGTGCGCGTGTGCTAGGGAAATTTCCAAGTTCACCAGCGCAGCAGGCACCTCCATCGATCTGTCGGTGCGGTGCTATTGCTACATTTACTTTTATTCGAGATTCAACGGGAACGAGGTATTGACCCCTGAACTTGACCTATACGGGGAAGTATACCTGGATCCAGAACGATCACAGGAACAATCAAACGAATATTTTGGAAAATCAGAAACGCGTTTTTTACTCTTCGATATCCTTGCGTCTCGTTAACCCTCTCGCGAATTACGCAATATTTTCGCTGCACTTCTACATTTCTCCCTCTACCGTCTGAATTTGTCGTTCGATCTGCTAGCCAGACATCACTATAAAAAAAAAAAAAGTTGCAAACTATTTGCAAAAATGGTGAATTTCTCGGCCATCCTAGGCGTGTAAGGTGTTCCTTCGCCGTTCGACGTACACGCGTTGAATCGACTTTTCCGTTCGTTCGCGTCGAAACGAATTCCCCCCATAAAATGTATCGCGTACGATCGGATTCGATACGCAGTACGAAATAAATTCGAAAACCGTGTCGATAATACAGCGACGCGTTCCCGATGTGCCCGCCCGCGGTCGCTGAACGTTCAATAACCATAGAGAAGGAAACAATCGTACTTACTATTGCATTATCTTAATCCAAATAATGCGAGTGTCCAAATACTGGCATCAATGGGGACAGGATTACGCGGTCTGGCACTAGGTGTGTGTCGGTCCGGTCTTTTATTCTAAACGAACGTTAACACGATACGTTTTTTCCGTGTTCGTTTGTATATTTCGCGTGTCAACGGCCCGTAGTCCTCGGAAGCAAGATCGCACTACGCCCGGCAAGCAAGCGGCAAGCCGAATAACTGACGCCAGCGCAAGGACCCAGTGTGTCTCACACCCTCCCTTCTTCTGCGCGCTCGGTCACTCCAGTCGATCTTCGTTTCTCGGTCGGTAGTTTCGTATGTCTCGCTCTCTCTTCGTATCGCTCTCGGACCTGCCTAGTCGGGGTTCCAGCAGCGCACTACTAGCGCGGCGAACGCGCGATGCCGCAACGCGTGCCCGGAGCACACTTTGAGACCGCGCGCGCCTCCCAGCTGCCGTATCGACCCCTCCCCATTGGATGACACATCCTCCAATAACGAACCTCGAAAAGGATTACGTCACTTTGGTATTATTGACGCCAACCATCCGGCGCGGCAGCATCGCAGTGGTGGACTCTTTCGGGTATCTTTTCTGTAATAGGGGGATGGCGAGGAATCGTCGAGGGTTAGCCGCCACGAAAGCTCTTCTCGTAAGACTCGTACCGGAATCTCTTCGTTAAATAAAAGGACACTTGCACGCCGTGAACTCGAGTGGCACGGCTCGCGAGCACCTTTTAGGTTATCCTCTTTTCGATATTCTAATTTCTATCGAACGCTCTGAAAACGAGTAATCGCTCGGAGACGGGCGGATCTGGCAAACAATTGTAAACGATTTTGTTCGTTCTTTACTTTGAACGACCAATTAAAAAACGTTTCGTCGCAAAGAATCGAATCCTTAGTCTTTCGATCGTTACAGAAATAACGAGTATCGCGTTCAACGACTCGATTAAATTACTTTCCTTTGTGGATGAAATTAATTTGCATTTACTCTTTAACGTTACTCGATACAATTTCGTGTTCAATTTACGCACGGTTAACGAAATCGTTTATATCGTTTGTCAATTTTATCGTGACAACGAAACGTTAACTGTTGCGTGCATTCTGTATATGTCGTTTTCGTTCGATTCGCGTTTCCATTGGTACGCCACTGGGAAACACACAACTTTACTCCCTCTGTGGCGCATATTTTTTTTTTTCCTCTGTGCATCCCCCTTCCTAGGACCATGGCAGTTAAAATACCCTTAAATAAAAATCAAAAATTCCGGAGGGAAGCGGGTTCATTCATTCTCACCCTTCGTGCAGTATGTTATCCGTACCTGTATGCATTCGGTTGCATCTTTCGAAAGAACGTGTATCTGAACTTTGCCCGATGTGCATCGATAACAACCACTGTCACATCGGTTCACGTATTCCGTAGATACAAACCTACCTACGTAGATGTTTGCCCGTGTGGTCCGTAATAGACTCTATGGGCAACCATTGACGTAGATGCGTAGTATTGTTTTTATCGTAGATTGTGACTAATGAGCTCACCTTTAGGGTGTTATCCTTCGTAATTGATACGGCGCGCTCGACTTCCGTTCTGGCGGTTCCGTCTGCGCGGGTTACGAGTGACAAAACGTTGAATACGGTGAATGTCGTCACCGACTCGGAATTTAAATCCTGCGACAGTGACAACGTTAAGTAGGTGCTCTCAACCCCTTACTCTCTGCTGACTGGTTGACACGCCGGCCAACAGGGTCTCTCATTTGTAAATCTTCTGCCGTTGCAAAATCAGTCGTTGAACTTACCTTTGCCACTTGTGCGAGTGCCAAGTACCGAGTCGCGACGTTGGCTGACTGAAGCTTCCTCTTCCCGTCTGGGCTAGAGCTGTCCGAGTAGTTGGGGAAAAAAACGAGCCTAGCCGACTACTCGAATACGTATTTCAAACCACTCGAATTTCGTTCAATTACCAAAATTATTATTCGAACAATCGACTACTCGTCTTGGTATCGCTGCTAAATACAACACACGTATGAAACGATATAATACGAGATAAATGCGTCATGTTTACTTTGTATATCGATGGCTGACAGCACACATTGCGCGTTCTTTTATAAACACACATGCTGTTTGTCAGCTACGCAACAAGAGGACCAAAATTCCGGTTCTGAGATGTCGAATCGTTACTAAATCAATATCGCTCGTGCTTGACCGTACGAGTGTGGAAATCGTATAGGGGGGAAAAAACCAACTACGAAAAACAGTCATTTCATAGAAAGTTCTCTGTCGGAACTTGGCTCCAGTGTAAATAAAATGGAGACCTCGAGATACGCTTCGGCGATGCCTAAACTAAGAAGAGAAAGTATTACGTATAAATCTGTGTATTCCTTTTGTATGTCGTTCGACGTTAGTATTCGGTCCATACAACATGCAGGAGTTATGAATTGTAATTTGAAGATTACACTAAGTACACGAAGTCTCTTTTTTTAAATAACAATAATATTCAGTTAATATTCTCTTGGCAATAATAACGCATCGAGGACTTCTAATCTTCTGGATGTTTTGATTCACGAGTGATTTATGAGGTTGTTGCAAAGATAATTTAATTAATCTGTTGAGTGACACAACCGGTTCATTTGTCACTGTCGATTAAAGTTTTACAAGCAGGCTAATTCTTGATGCAACCGTATCAGCGATTGATACTGATAAAATGAAAAAAGGAACGAGACGTAATAAAGATCTAAAGACACATTGAATCTGTGTACTCGTTCGAGATTGAGAACACAGATATTACGTTGACGACGGTAGTAAACCGAGAAAACTGTCCTCGTCGCGTCGGAGGTAAACTCTTAAAATTGTAACTGCGCAATGGTAGAAGTAATCGACTAATTCCTGTACATTTCTTACATTTTTCTTTTCCCTGGCCGCAATGGAACGGAATAGACGGATAGACGTTTCGATCTATGGGGGGCACATATGGGGAATCCTCCGCAATGTAAAATATCTTTCTTCGTCACAAATTGGTAGCCACTGGATCCACGGTCGCGTGGAACCGTTTCTCAGAACGAATTAAACGGATTCGAATTCATTGTTTGCGATACCACGCACGCGCCGGGGTGGAATGAAAATTGACAAATGTAAAACGATGTGTAACTTAACGATGCAGGACTGGAGGCGCTGGAAAAGGCTCTCTATTGCTGGGAGGATGCTCTCGCTGCGTTTAGCTCTTCGTTCAGCAATGACACGCTCGCATTACCGTCTAAGGCGGATGCAGCTTTTACGCACGACGTCCAAGAGCTCCTTGACATGGGTTATCAAATCCAGAGCCAGGCGGAACTCCTCTTTATCGACCAGGTAGGCATATCGGTTTACCTTGCGTTTTTTTTTTTCTTCCCTTTTTCGTTTGCTGAAGCGAATCTCCGTTACTCCTTGAATTATTATATCGTTAGTCACGGGGCGTGTTTATTGCGGTGAACATTTTTTAGAAGCTCCCAACCGCTATATGATTCTTTTTCTTTTTTTTTTTTACGGGTACGTTATCAACGATTATTTAAAACTAGCCGCCAGATGTATAGAAAGTAGGTTGATCGTTAACGGTTTTAGTCTTGGCGAAATTAAACTAAATTACTCATTAAAAAGTTCCTTTTGTACTCTGTTTATTTTTTGTAATTTTCCTTTTATCTTCTAAATCTTGTCCGCTTCACGTTCACTGCCATTCCATTCCGCTGGACTCATCAATTACGTTTTGCGAGCTATAAGAAAAAAAAATACGGGAATTAATCCAATTTAAATGATAACTGACCGGAGTAATTAGCGGAATGAGTCACTTGACCTAACGCAAGGAAGAATTACTACATAGGAAGTTCATGGCACCGCGACCGCTGTCGTTCGAATCTAAACGTGCAAAGTGCAGTTCAAGAACGGACACTGTTCAAACGATCGTGCAAATTAAAATACACAAGTTTGTCACAACGAAATAAATATACAGAAAACCTGTTCCTTCGTTCGAGCCTCGTAATCGTAGATCTTTGCGATCGCGAGGTAAATTATAAGCAAGAAGAAACAATTAATTTCGTTTTCTCGTAGCACTCTGTATTGTTTCGCAACGAAAGCGAGGAGAGCTTGGACAAACCTTCGAAAATAGGGACACGGTTATCCACGAAAGACAAAGCGGACGCTGCATCTTCTCCAGAGTCCTTCGAGTCGGCGCGTGACGGAGTAAGTTTCTACGTGTTCGGTGTAGAATTTTAAATAAAGATTAAAACTTCGTTTTGATCGATGCTAAACTCCGTGCTCGTTGTAATTCAGGTAGCAGATCTGCGCGAATTCGAAGAATTTTCCGAGTTGTTCCCACATTTCGAGAAGCAAGAACTCTATCACACTGCCCTCAAAGAACACGAGGACACTGGTATTTCTTGCAGGTAAAAAGTTATCTTTCCTATCAATTCTAACAGTTACGGTAACATTTATTCGGTCATGTAATCGATTGTGATTTTTATAGACGGCTTCATACGGAACTGGTGAAATGCGGCTCGGACGTTGAGTATTTAGCGAAAGTGCAATGTTTGCGGCAAGCATATACAAAATTGTTTACTATTCCGTCTGTGAACTTGTGGATCAGAGACATAGGCCGACAAGTTATTAGCGATTTGATCATGTATGCAGACAGGGTATACACAACACATACATATATATATATACATACATATATCGTTTACTTCCTCTGAGAAAACATAGATAATACTTAACACATTGGCCGCCCAGAACGGATCGAATATATTTTTTAAATGTGGCGGTCAACGTGTTAATCTAAATTCAATGATTAATAAATGTATTTAACGCCAGGATCCGAAGGATTATTTGATGCATTACGAACGGATGTTAGAGTTCTTGATCGATCCAAAGAATCATAGCATGATGGAAGAAGAATTATCAGGGAGAGGCGTGAAGTGCATAAACTTCTACGACGTGCTGATCGATTTTATACTTTTAGACGCGTTTGAGGAAGTTGAAAAGCCACCGTCGTCCATTAAAGCAATTTTACAAAACAGATGGATCTCCGCCAGTTTCCGTGAAACAGTGAGTATTCCAAATATAATAATACTTATCATGGTTCTGTTTATTACTTTTTACGTTACGTTTAAGGCAATCGGTACTGCGGTCTGGTCAGTTCTTGTTGGTAAAAGACAAATGTTGAAATACGACAAAGGATTTTTGTCGCACTTTTACTCGATTTCTGAACAAATTTCGCCGGTACTCGTATGGGGATTTCTAGGTCCAGAAGGCAGTCTACGTTCCACTTGTCATTATTTTAGAGATCAAGTTATCGAATTCCTTGTAGATATATTTAATTTTTTTAAAGTAAGATACACCAGTGTCGACAGCCTGGCTGAAGATGTACTCAAAGAGATGATGGTAAGGGTTGAAAATATAAATCAAAGGCTTTCTTTAGAAGGCTGCTAATTGAATATAAACAAATAGTCATAACATTGAAACATTAAATGTATGCAGAGTACTGATACGATTAAATAAGCGCTGCCCGAAATTGACTTTTGAAGATCAAATGCCGTCCTACGGCATTTAAAAATATATCTACTTACGTAATTCAGTCGCGAATAATCTTTCTATGTATGTACAATTCTTTTAAAGGAGAGAACAATTTTTTGCAGTCATGATAAAAATGTATATTTAAAATGTTATGTACAAATTTTGAACTATTTTTTTTTTTACCATATTTACGAACTTATCTCTGTTTGTAATGTAAATAGGACCATTATTTAGGCAATATTATTGTTCGTTGTATATATAAATTTCGTTAACTTCTCGGAAAGGCAAAGCAATTAGTGTAATTTAATTCCTTTACAAACTCACATTTTTTATAGATCGTTGAGCCAGAAATATTATTATATATGTAAATATTCATTGTTCATTGCATTTCATCTGTACTTTACAGTGAGATCTACGTTCTTAGTACAAAGACTCGTGCGAAATGTCTAAATATAATTGTTTTGTAGCAAAAGTGAATTATTATTTTAATGTTAGAACAAAATGATTTTATGTTAGATATATATATATATATATATATATAATATGAAATTGTGATTCACAGCATTTAACGGTAGCAAGTAATAAAACCGTTCTAGTTCCTTGTGTACTTTGTAAGACAGTACTGTGCATTAATGTCAAGGCACTAATAATATATTCTTTAACTGACGCATACATATACATGAATTTCATTGCAGAAACTTCTGGCAATTTAAAATATTTCGTAATTTTATTTGATAGTGTATTATACTTTTTATTCGATTATCTATACAATTTAAATCGCATGTATTATTGAAATATTTAGACAATACTCCTATGAAAATACTACATATTAATATTGATTAAAACGTATAACACAGATTGCTAAAGATATAGCAATATTATTACTAGTAAACATTTGTAGTTACCGTATATGTATTATGTATTGTCCTCGGTTCCATGTCATCACAACTATGTTATTATACCTTATATTGTATATTATGACAAAAGCATAATAACATTCCAATTATGTTTTCAAACATTTAATTATGCAAAAATTAAATGAAGAGTCATTTACAAACGATATGTATGTATATGAAACTGATTTATAAATGATTTAATAATAAAAATATTCAATTCAGAAAAAAACAGTCTCTTTAAAAACATTTTCTAGGCATTAGAAATACTAAATCTATATAAATTAGAGAAATAACATGTCCATTGCATCGTCGTCAGAGTCTTCTTCGTCGGAGGAGGGCACGACTGGCATTATATTAGATATATTATTTTTTCGTTTATATTCTTCGAAACTTTCCCTCTCTGTAATAAAACATAATTTTTGTGAAATTACAAATTGTCCAAATATAACTCTCGATTGCTGGTGAATAGTTATGCGCAATTCTAATCGATTAATTGATATTACAAAATAATTACCTATTCTAAAAGGAACATTGTACCACTCATTTTTATATAAATGGTCCAGATCCGCAACTATTAGTGGATTTTTTTGCCTTTCAACATGCAATCTTAACCATTCTGTGCCTGTTGTGTTTCATGAAAACTGTGTAAATAAACGAGAAAAAGGAAGTAAACGGATAAACAATGAATAATTATAATTACATTTATGTGCTTTTATAAGCGTGATTTTGATCTCCCTTTCTATGTTTGTGTGAGTTGTTTTTTCTGCCACCACTGTTCCAAAAAGATTCAAACAAACACAATAATCTCTTTCGCTCGACGTGGTACTAAAAATAGTTTATCCATTAATTATACACGTTTCGAAACATATTCTTTATTAGTTCATATGATATAAGAAATACCTAAATACTAAATAGTCGCATTTAACTCGAAGGAAATAATTATCAACGTCCTGCAATAAAATACGTATAACTACCGTAACATCCGTCTGATACCATATTATTTTTGGTGTGTAATATTTACTAATGAGTTTTGGATAATTCATCGTTTAATTCAAATTTTTAATGTAATAAACGCATTTGTCGTGTACAGAGAATCACGATACACAGTGTTAGCATAACCTTTCATAAAATCACCAAATGAAACAAAACACATTTATAAAATATGAAAAGAAAGGTTTTTAATTCTAAAACTGTATTCAACGCCTAAGTAATACTACAGCACCTATACGAAAGGTATCAAATATTCGATCAAATTCTATGCTAGTATTAAAATCTTTTTGGTTCAATTGTCTTGATAGATTTGGTAGCATTACGAATTTACGAGTTTTAATGGCAGTTGTTCAAACATAGGAAAGGGCAGGAAGTAAAACAGAAAGAGATTGGAATGTTAAAGCAATTATATTACAATATTATTCGTACGAACAGTAATTATATCTTTTATTTTAATATTACTATACAAACTTATTCAAACAATTACTCCGAGTATTTGATAAAATCATAAAAATACATCTCTCGAACAATTTTCATTTTTGATATTTCTTTACGTTGGACATAATAATAATTTTAATTGATTAAATTCACAAATAGTGTCTTCGTAATTCGACACCACTTATGCCTTAATTATACGCCGAAGGAAATATAATTGTCGAATGTTCCATATTCCTTTGCAATATAAATAAAATATAAATTCGCCCAGTTATTTATCGAAATGAAAAAGAAAGGAGTGATTAATTTCATGCTTTTGATTGGTGGAATTTTTTGATACGTCTGCTGGAATTTTCAGCACTTGTTTAGCACGTATTTCTTTGAACGTAATTTTTTATTACCCAGAAACAGCGAAATACTATTATTATGGAAACAAACAAATGCAATAATTAACGATAATCTTTTTACATGATAACGTTGTTTGCTTCCTGTTATCTGTATAAATGAAAAGCATCTTATATAGACGTATTTGAAGACCAATGAAGATTCATTCCAAAGCGTTAGATTATAAGCCGGGCGTGATCACGGTGAAACGTCCAGCGCGTTGTGAAAATGTCAAGATACGACGGCAAAAATGACTCGTCAGCGTCCGCGTTTCGAAAAATTGACGTTGATCAATACAGTGACAATAATTTCAAAGAGGAAGATGCTGACGGCGGATTAGGAGGACCTACTGGTCCAGACGAGAACGAAGTTTTGACACTTCTTAGCCAATATCCTTTCCATTACTCTTACATTACGTTATATTAATTTCTTTCATACACCATTGTATTTTCCTTAAATTTTCTGTAAGGGTAAGAATTGCGAAGCTTTGATATCAGTATTAAAATCTGCACCACTTGAATGTAAAAATCAACAAGTAAAGGTAACCTCAATATCACACTTTTAATTATCACTTTACGAGAATTATCACGTTACTTCGACAATTTAATAATTCAAACAATATTTTATCTATTGTAAGTACGTGAATTTATAAAAACGAAAACCTTTAAATCTTACAGGATAATGCTCGGAATTTAACTATGAAAGTTCTTCTAAGTATAAAATCTAATCAAATGGATGACTGCCTAGCACAATTAGATCGAGACTTAGTGGATGTATTAATGAAATATATTTATCGAGGATTTGAAATTCCAACGGAAGGTAGCAGTAGTCATTTATTAATCTGGCATGAAAAGGTATACAATATCAGTGGCATTGGCAGTATTGTACGAGCATTTTCAGATAGCAAGCGTGCTTGAAGACTTGTACATTTTCCAGTAATGTTCATTACAATAATTACCATTAATCCTTACTGTTACTCATTGTCATTGTTGATACAATGAGGATGTAGATAGCCAAACCATTAAATTTTCCAAGTGGGAAATAACAACACATTTGTGTACATTTGTTATCAATAAAGTAATTTTTATTTCTTGTACATTTGGAGAAGTGACTCATTTCAAACTTTTGTTATATCTTCAAATAAGAATTTTTATTTTACATACGAAATACATACGATGCATCGAAGATAACATTTCTATTATTTATTAGAATATGCATTTTGTGTATCTAGGATTTTATAACAATTTAATATATATAACATAATGATACTATATACTTTATATTAAATGACATTTAAATTCTATTATTAAATATGTAACAAAATCGATAAAATTAGAATGTTATATGCTTCACAATAATAGCAAGTAACTTCGGTTATTGAAAAAGTATCGCGTGTACTCCTCAACTTTTAACTTATTGTTTACTACTCACATTTATCTTTTACTGTGAGCATTATCATATTTGTTTGTTGTATTAAATATAGGGCACTCACGAATACTGCATTAGCTCTGCAAAAATTTGCAAAAATTTTTTTCACCCATACAAGAGATTAACAACAGCAAATATTAATAATAAATACTTACTGTCCTTCTTTGAAGTACTCCTTTAACGTGTTGCTAAATCTTTTACTATATTTGACAAATTCCCTTTTTCTTTGATCGAGTGCTTGCTTTCCTGCAGAGCCACGTATAAATGCAGTAACTTCATTCACTGCATCTAAAAGCTTCTTTATTGCACTTGCTATTTCTCTGAAGTAAATGCATTATAATGAATAAAACAACATAGAACATTAATGCAAAGTTAATATATCATTGCATACACATACTTGATTGTTTCAAGGAAAGTTTTACGATCTGTTATTTCATCAGGAATTCTGCTAAGTATTCTTTTTAATGAAGTCGATTTACGATTCAGTTCTTGAAAAGCATCTTCCGATCGAGCTGATCTATATTCCACAACTACATAAAATAATTAGAAAGAATTAAATATATATCAAAGTAACTATTAGTTATTAGTATTTTAGCCAATTGTAACATTAATATAATACCATCATAATCACAAGCCGCTCCTTGTAATCTCAGAACACTTTCGTTCATGTCAACGTTAAGTTCTGCCCTTTGTATTATACCAAGAATTAAATCATGTGTAATTCCTGGATGAGAATTTTCAGCTTTCAAAAGAGTTGTGCGTAAAGTTTGAGCAACCAATACATTTTGTCTCTCTAGCTGCGTAAATAATAATGTACATGAATAAATGCAAACTGGAAATTTTGTTTTTCTTGTGATAAAAACTGTTCATCCGATAATCAATTTATTTTTTCTATAGAAAATCTGTTTTAACCGATAATTATGACGAAGGAACGGAGCGAGACTTTCAATACCTTCATTAATATTGGTCTTAAGATTACAGGAAGAACCAGTGATGTAACTGGAGTCTCATCGCCCATTGTCATCCTTTATAGCTTTTATTGATAAGAACGGTTCAAACGTAATTGATTCCTGTGTTATTTTAAGTATTAAACACGGTTAATTAATTTTTCGAATAGCTGATACAGACATTGGTCAAATTGTTTACATTAATACATATGAATCACGACCATATTCTTGATATGACAGCTGTCACAATCCAATGTCTCCTCGAAAACGAGGTAAACAGGTTGTGCAACTTGATTTTTAGGTGTATACATCTTTAGCACAAATTTTTCTAAATCAAATGATCCTTCTGCAATTTTTATTATTTTCATCGTAGGGCACATTAAAAATGGTAATTATTCTGAGACTTTTTAAATAAAAATATTCTAAATATATTCATTATATTTTTACTTATATTATAATTTTATTAGTGTATTTTTAAGAGACTCTATTAACTAACTAATATTCTAGGTTAGACGCAATCAATGAAATACCGCCTTGACGTAGCGCGCCTTCAACAAATTGTATCAAACAGTATCAAAACACCACGAAATAACCTATCACGCAAAGACTTTATTGTAAATACGGAATACAGTTAATTTACCATTGTCATTAAGTTTAATAAGTTGTGTAGAATTAAATAACGTTATCGATGATGCTGGAACGCAAAGATCAGGAAGGGAATTTATACGTTTTCGTAAGTACATTATTCAAGCTAACCTCGTTTCGTCCTGTGTAAAACAGTTCTTTTCTTTAATAATAGTCTATTATATTGTACAGAATGAGGAAGATTTACCATATGAAGAAGAAATCTTGAGAAATCCGTATTCTGTAAAACATTGGCAACGTTATATAGATCATTTAAAAAGCACAAAGAGTAGTAACTTAAACATTGTGTATGAACGAGCTTTAAAGGAACTTCCTGGCAGGTAAGATTTGTATTTTTTTATTTTAAGTAGATTTTTACATAATATTAAAGCTTTTGTTTTTGCTAGTTACAAATTATGGTACAATTATTTACGTCAACGTGTAAATCAGTTAAAAGGACGATGTATAACAGATCCCCTTTACGAAGATGTAAATAATGCATTTGAACGTGCCCTAGTTTTTATGCATAAAATGCCTCGGATTTGGATGGATTACTGCACATTAATGACAGAACAATGTTACATAACTCGTACTCGACAAATTTTTGATCGGGCACTTAGAGCCCTTCCGATTACACAGCATCATCGTGTATGGCCATTATACATTGAATTTTTAAAGCAAAACAATGTATATGAAACTGCTGTCAGAGTTTTCAGGAGATATCTCAAGGTGCGAGTGTTTTGTGGTAACGAAACTTACTATGTCATTGATTTGTATTTAGATAATTCATATTTTATTTCCAGTTAGCTCCAGAAGATACAGAAGAATACATAGAATACCTCATATCGATCGAGAGACTCGACGAAGCAGCCATGAAACTCGCGCAAATTGTTAATCAAGATGACTTTGTATCAAAACACGGGAAATCAAATCATCAATTGTGGAATGAATTATGCGATTTGATATCAAAAAATCCTTCCAAAATAAAATCTCTTAATGTAGATGCTATTATCAGAGGCGGTTTAAGACGTTACACTGATCAGTTAGGTCCACTTTGGAATTCTTTGGCAGATTACTATGTTCGCAGCGGTTTATTTGAAAGGGTACCGAAATATTTTTGCCTTTGAAATACGCGTAATTTTACTTTCAAACGAAATAATTCGTACGTTCCTAACTTTTGGTAGGCAAGAGATATTTACGAAGAAGCAATACAAACAGTGACAACAGTTAGGGATTTTACTCAAGTTTTTGATGCTTATGCACAGTTTGAGGAACTTAGTCTTAGTAAACGCATGGAGGATGCTGCGAAAAATCCTACCGAAGATGGTACGAATATAAACGTATATGACCTGCTACTAAGAAAGGGGACTTCCTAGCCTAATATTACCATAACAATTGTAACAATGTTTTTACAGATGACATAGATTTAGAATTGAGATTAGCACGATTTGAACATCTGATGGAAAGACGATTATTATTACTTAATTCTGTATTACTTAGACAAAACCCACACAATGTACAAGAGTGGCATAAAAGAGTTATGCTTTATGAAGGACAACCTCACGAAGTATACAAAATTTTTTTTACCATTCGATAGAAGTTATGTTGTATTGCTTTATTTATTAACTATTTTTAGATTATTAATACATATACAGAAGCTGTACAAACTGTGCAACCACATTTAGCAGTAGGCAAATTGCACACTTTATGGGTTGCGTTTGGCAAATTTTATGAAGAGAATGGTCAAATAACAGATGCTAGAGTGGTTTTTGAAAAAGCAACTCATGTTCCATATACCAAAGTAGACGATCTCGCTTCTGTATGGTGCGAATGGGCTGAAATGGAAATTAGACACGGGTACTGCATCTTTCAACGTATTCTTTTGTGAAAGAAAACACGATATCGTTTAAGAACTTTTTTTTATTAATATAATTTAATTCGTACAGAAATTATAAAGATGCTTTGAAACTTATGCATCGCGCTACGGCTATGCCATTCCGCAAAGTAGCTTATCACGATGAAACAGAAACTGTTCAAATGAGATTATATAAATCATTGAAAGTCTGGTCTATGTATGCGGATTTGGAAGAAAGTTTTGGTACATTTAAGGTAAAATATGTGCATGAAGACACAATGTCACTTTTATACTTTTTATTTTTTGCAATTTATAATTTTTTCGTATTTTTTTTTTTATACAGACATGCAAAGCAGTATATGATAAAATTATAGATTTAAAAATCGCAACACCGCAAATCATTATTAATTACGGTCTCTTTTTAGAAGAAAATAAATATTTTGAAGAAGCCTTCAGAGTATGTAAAAGCATTACTTTATGATTCTGACAAAATTGAATGGACTGTTAAATAATTTTTCAATATTTTTAATAGGCGTATGAGAAAGGAATTGCATTATTTAAATGGCCTAATGTTTACGATATATGGAACACGTATCTTACGAAATTCTTAAAACGTTACGGTGGTACAAAATTGGAACGAACGCGAGATTTGTTTGAACAGTGCTTAGAACATTGCCCACCTAAATACGCTAAAGGTATTGTCACTTATCATTAGAATCGAATGTAAACAGGATATTATAAAGAATATTTTGTTCTTGCTAATGTATTGTCATATTTTGTTGCAGCTTTGTATTTATTGTATGCAAAATTAGAAGAAGAACATGGCTTGGCTAGACATGCAATGTCTGTGTACGAGCGAGCAACAAGCGCCGTTCTTCCCGAAGAAAGATTTGAGGTACGATATACAGTTTTATACACACAGATATATTTTAACAATTTTCTAAAATATCGAGATAATGTTACAGATGTTCAACATATACATAAAGAAAGCAGCAGACATATACGGTGTTCCGAAAACGCGACAAATATATGAAAAGGCTATAGAAGTTCTAAACGAAGAAAATACAAGAGAAATGTGTTTGCGATTTGCTGAGATGGAAACGAAATTAGGAGAAGTTGACAGAGCGCGGGCGATATATGCACATTGCAGTCAAATTTGCGACCCAAGAGTAAGATATCGGATAATCGAATCGTTTAGATTAATTTTAACCTTTGAATTAAGTTCTCGCAGTTTAGTGGAAAACCACGGGACACTGTTATAAATATTCGTGTCCTTACGTAGGTAACATCGAATTTCTGGCAAATATGGAAAGAATTTGAAGTGAGACACGGCAACGAGGATACAATGCGTGAAATGCTTCGAATAAAACGCAGCGTTCAAGCTATGTACAATACTCAAGTAAATATGATGTCTGCTCAAATGTTAAACAATGCATCAAACCCACCGTCAGACGTACCAGTGGATGCAATGCATCTTTTGGATAGTAAAACACCAAGTACAGGTAATCGATCGTAATTCTCACGGGGTTTTCTTTAATTTAGATGCATGCTTAAAACTTTTCTAATACGATAATGCAATTTTATAGACAACGTTGCCGCGTACAAGGATAGTATAAAATTTGTTCGCGGCGTGACAGAAGGAGATGGAAAATCGGAATCACAAGTGAATAATCCGGATGAGATAGATATTGACATAGATGATGTTAATGACAACGAAGCGGACGTGGAGGAAGGTAGTATAAAGTCCATTAACACACTTAGATTTTTATTACACTTTATCACATGTAAATGCGTTTATAAATTGATTTGGACAGTTTCCATAGCAACGTACACATTTTATGTTGTCTTCTAATTTAAATATTTACTTTTAGATATACCCATTGAAAAACAAACTATTCCATCGCAAGTATTCGGTAGTTTAAAAGCAACTGAGGGCGAAGACGATTAAGCCGTGTATAAATTATGATGCGTAGAAAATATGTAAATAAACGGTTTCATAATGAAATCTGGAGATTTATAATGACGTGTAATTGTTCGTAAAGCTAACATTTGTAAATTCTCAACGTTCCGAGGAATTAAATTTTACGCTGGACGTTTTTTTTTTTTTCTTTTTTTTTCTTAAAATAAACTAACATTTTTAAGTGTTGAATATCACAAGATATTTATAACATTTTCTTATTTGCTGCACTGTTTTTACGTTCAGGTTAAAATAATTTTTTTTAGTAAATACTGTTCCGTGACACAACTAAATTCAATGCAACACTAACAAAATGAAAACATTTTCCATCGAATATGAAAATGCATTAATTGCTATTACGATATATTAAATAACATATCTCGGCGGATTTATAAAATGGAGATCATTATAGACTTCAGATTCATCCATAACAGGGTGACTTTGTAAAAATGTCTGTTCCTTACGTATGCCCCCAAACACTATCAATTCACCGCGACCCGGTACAAGCGAATAAAGTATTCTTTCATCGGGACCAGATTGATTATTATGCTTCAAAGGAATCCACGAAGCTGTACACTCATCGTGTAGAACGTTAGTAATATCTAATACAAATATAGATAGTGTGTTTCCCGTTTTCTTCACAGTTTTCGATTGTGTTCTTCGATTTCTAATTCTTTCCTCCATTCTCCGAAGCGATTCTAATTGACGTTGTCGGTTACTGTTCGAACCGCTACGAACCGGTTCATCGCGAAAAGCAGCCATGCTTAATACATTATCATTGCATAATGTTAAACTTTTTGTAAAACTAGGAGCGTGAGACGAAGAATGTGCATTTTGCATAGAAGCTCTTGAAAATGATCCATGCCGACCATTAACGTTTACCTCTCTGTCAGTATAAGATACGTTCCCTTGTCTGAAAACGTACGATTATACATTTCTATAATTTTTGCTTGACGTCGATAATCAATTGAATTGTACAAACCTTTCTTGTAAAGGGGCTGGATCGGTTTGCAATGATGTTGTCCTTTGACCAGTAACATTTCTTAGTGATATATTCACATCATTCGGTTTTTTCTGGCATTTGTTTATACTAAGAACGATAACGTAATTTCCCACCTATTAAATTAGAAAATCATAAATAGCAAATAGCAGCATATTACAAATCCCTTGTTATTTTATATTTTGATTGCATGGTATAATTAACAAAATTTTAAGTTTTTACCTTACATGCCTGATGATACCAAATACGTGCCGGTGCCCATTTTGTATTGTGCATATTTACTTTTTTCCATGTCCAAGATGTGCCTTCCATTTTTAGTAACCAAGCGTCGTTCATAGCAACATTAGGACCAGCACAACCTCCTAATTTTCCAAATATTTAAATTCGTTTAAAAATATTATATTGTAATAGAACATTTGCAAAATTCTCACCTAGCACGAGAAGATGGTTGTCGCCAAGCTCAATTTGAGATTGACCATAACGTGGTTCTGGTTTTAAGTTTGATGTAGCTTGCTTGTGCCAACTATACGAATCCAAATTCAAACACCACACGTCATTGGATCTACCTCAAAGTAACATGATGTTTTTGTTACAAAATCAAATTAAAATGCCAAGACAAATTCAGTATTTTATAATATATTACCTATCAAAAAATATGCTACCCATTATACCACCAAAAACAATCATATAATTTTTGTGAATCGACGCTGAATGTGCTGCTGTAGGTGGAGGCTTTTCCAATGTATCTACAGCAATCCATTTATTAGATTCTACAGAGTATACATGTAATTCATTGAATAGTTTTGATTGCTGGAAACAAACGATGTATAGCAAAGCATTTGGATAATCAATGTTCTACTGTATTCTTATTATTGATCACTTTAAATGTATGTACCTGGTGTAAGGAATATGGCGATGGAAGAGACCACCCGCCAAATAAAATAAAGCCTTTTTTGTAATATAGCATAGTGGCACAAGCCTTGGGCGATGGGTAACTTCCCATAGTGATTAATCTCACCCATGTTCTTGTGGCCAAATCTAATCGCCATAAGTCATTAAATGTTGTACATGTGGCTGTACATCCTCCAAAGACATACATGAAATTTTCATACGTGCAAGCAGAATGCGAGTGTCTCTTTCCTATAGTAGGCATCCAATGTTTAGATGGCCAGGAACACCAAAGCAATGATCCATAAGCAACAGATTTATGGAAATGCGCTCTGTTACGTTGTAATACATCTATCATAGAAAATAAAAATTTCACTGCTTCTTGTAGAGGCATAGAAAGTAGAAAAGTATACTAAAAAATTTAACATACTTTTGGTAGCATGGAACCATCTTTTAGACACAAGCTTACATTCTTGAAGATCTTTATAAGGCGGAATCAAACTTAAAATATATTCCAATAGCACGTCTGGCAAGTCATCGATCTTACACTCCATTTTACATTAAATATCTGTACTAAATGCGTTATACTATTAAATAACTACACTACCTTCAATCTTTTAATTGTCAAGCCAAAGCGATTTTATTATCTTAGGCGATCGAAAGTCATGTTTCATCAACATCACTTTCTAACTGTTCTGACAATTCGAGAAACCTTCGATGTTTGCGCGAAACGAATTTTACGTTTCTCCATCACATAACAGGTACTTATATTTATTGTAGATAGGTTATTTATATAACCTATTACCGAAAACCTCTCCAGGCTGCGAATCAACACTAGAGATGTATTATATGATGTAGAGCGTAGTTCACCCTATCACGTGATACCGGTCAAACGATGTTTTAATAAGAGCAAAATTCAAAGTGATCAACACTTATACAGGCAACCGGAAATTGATATTATTATTCGAGGCATATAACGCGGGTAATTTGGTAGGTAGAGATTTTTGGAGATTTTTGATAAAAAATGAAAGGGCCATTAAACTAAAAATATTTCATTCCATAACCAATTATCAACTCTTTGTCTAAAAACGTACATTCTTTGGTATTTTCTGTTTTTAAGGGACAGTTTTGTGAGTTCGTAATTCTAACAAGATCATCAGTTTCCATTCCTTAGAACTTGAATGAAAGTTGGAAATTATTCGAAATACGAAAGAATCGATCAATGCCGAATTGGGATGAAACAATTAGGCCAAAGACTTATAGCACGGCTAACTCCAGTATTAGTCATGCTGAACGAGAAACAATAAAACCATGAGAGTCTCATTTTGCATCTGATAGAAAGATTTCATTTGTCTATCCAATGCAAATTAACCGATTCACTGTGGTGTGTGCAAACTTTTATATTTTATGCTATGGCAAATCGGTCATTTGCTAAATCAATTATTTCACCATCTCGTGTAATCGTCACATTTAGGAACACGACCCTGAATTCCCCTTAAACAGCAAGAATTAATGACCGTGCATAATAAAAAGTAAAATACAGAACGTTCATTTTTTTATTAATAGCAATGAAAATAAGAAGTTACATTGTTTAATAAAACAACGGAAACTTCTAATTATCAAATTTTTTCATAAAGCGAATGCCAATTGAATCTTATACTTTCGAAACCAGAATTGGTATCATTAGTTAAAATAGTCTGAAATTTTTTAATTTTATTTCATTATTTTTAACATTCCCATAACGTCTCTAATCGACTCTCATAAATAAATTAATAAGGGGTTTTGAGTTTTTATTACCGTGTCGTCGTATATATGCGTTTTGCCATAATAGTTCGCACATTTGCCACACGATACGCTCTTTTCCCAAGCTTTCTATTTTAGAAGTGGACAGCCACCATCTTTTATTTGTAAAGTTAGAAATTTTGCGAAGCAATCGCTAGTTACGATTCGCTATATTTAGAATATCGAAGAAAGACTATTGGATCGGAGAAACCTGTAAGTTTTTATGGCATCGAAAGACGCGTTTATTTGATACCTTTTCGAATGGGAAAATTACTTCAAAAAGTTTCAAATGCGTATAGCGACTTCATAAATGAAAATAAACTACACCTGCTGCAGATATTTAACGAGAAATATAAAAATATGTCCGTGACCTTTGCTCAACGTGGTAGGCCATCACCAAATCCTGCCCAAATACAGAAGGTAATATTGTGTATCATTATTCATACTGTAATATATTCTTTGTCTCTGCATATATTCTCATTGTACATTTTATTGATATTTAGTGAAATGATGTCATATAAAAAAAAATCATAACATTACTGTTAGTAGATTGTTAGCTAAAAACAACTTATACATCCATTCTTTCACTGGGTGTATAAAGAGAAAGATTAGTGTTCGATTCGGATAAACATGAGATTTATATAAAGAAATGTATTTGCATAGGTGCTTGATGAAAATAGCCAGCTTATACAAACGATACAAGAATATCAGAATAAAGGGAAAGCGCAAGAATGCGTACAGTAAGTCAAATTTGTTTAAAAAAATGTTCAGAAACATTCATTGTTATGCTGCAGGTCTATTTATTGTGCAATTTCTTTATAGGTATCAACAGATATTACACCGTAACTTAGTATACTTAGCATCCATCGCTGATGCGAATCAAAATTTGCAAACATTATTACCAGTAAGAAATATTCTCATATATAATTTAAAACATACATTATTTATTATTATGAATTTGAAATAAGGTATCCATATTTTTGTGTTTATGATAAGCCACCACAAGTAATACCTAATGGTCCTCAACATGGTATGATGAATCCGCAAGGCCTTCCAACTCCTTCTACAGGATCAGCTGGACCTGTAGGAGAGATGCCTCCAAACAGTCAGCCAACTATACCAATGTCAAGTTTTAATCAAGGACAGCCAATGTCACAGGGTGGATATCGTGGGCCTGTTATGCCTGGGCAAGGGCCTGCTATAAATAGTATGTTATATTTAAATTGAATATCCCTAAGTTAAATATAAGTTTTAATATTAATGTTTTAAGCGAATTGTATTATATCTTAGTAATACATTTTTTGTTTTTTTGTAGGACCACCTACTGCACCTGGACCACAACAATTCAGAGGACCTCAAGGTTATCCTCAACAACCTCCCCAACAAGGTTATCCTGCTCAATACGCTAATCAAAGTCCTGGCTCCAACTATCCAGGACCACAAGGATCAGCATATACTCCAGGACAACCCAATCAATATGGACCACCAAATGCTTCTCAACAACAAGGATACAACGCATCGGCACAACCGAATTATGGTCCTCCAAATACTGTAAATAGCTATGGTCCTCAACCGGGTGGATATCCACCACCAGGAGCGACTCAGCCTCCCACCGGATATGGTCCGCCTCCACCTAACCAACAAGGCTATCCGCCTACTAATCCTTCCCAGCAGAACTTTCCATCAAGTGGTCAGCAACAACAACCAGGGCAATATGGTAGTCCTAGCCCACAACCAAATTACCAACAGCCTCCATCCCAGGCTCCGCCTCAAAACGCATACGGAGGCGGTCAGCCTGGAAGTTATCCTCCTCCTTCTTCTCAAGCATATGCAAATAACGTTCCACCTCAGAACTATCCAGCTCCCCCTTCATCTAGCACTGCTCAGCCTCCGCAACCTGGATCTCAACAGAATACTGGCCCCCAGCCTAATTATGGTAATCAGCCAAGTCCTGGTCCTAGTGCAACACAATACGGACCAGCTTCTACATCTCCTCCGTTCAGTACTGCCTCTGCCAGTGGAGTCAATACTTATGCTCAAAGCAGCCAACCTACGAGTACACCATCTGCTTCGACTCAAACTTATCCACCGAGCACTGGTCCGCCACCGACTTCACAAGGTGGAAACTATGCCCCGTCTGTTCCCAATCCTTCCGGATATCCTGTGCATCAGACGCCTCATCCAACATCGCATCCACCACACCAACCGCCGCATCAGTCTCCTCATCAACCACCACATGCTCCCCATCAATCGCCTCATCAACCATCTCATCCGTCGTCTCATCAACCTCCCACCCATCAACCGCCCTCGCATCAACCTCCTTCGCATCAGTCGCCACATCAACCGCAACAGTCTCAACAGCAATCTCAAACACCACTGCAGTCGCAACAACAACAATCTCAAAGCCCTACCCCCAGTGGATTTCAACCACCATCCGCACCTCCGCAGGGCCCTGCTCCACCTCCAGGTCCACAACCGCAACCTGGATACGGACCAGCTACTACGCAGACATATGTGCCTCCAATGCCGGGTAGTGGACAGCCACAGGTATTATTAGTTTAAAAATAAATACACTTATTTACCCATTCATACCTGTAATTAAAAACTAATCAAAATATATAGATTAGTGGAAGTCCATTATTCGCTGAATGATGCGTTTTAAATTCTATATATTTTCCAGGTGTATAGCCCTCATCCACCACAAGGTGGACATTACGGACATCCGCAATATCCTCCTCAGGGTTATCAACCGCCACAGCCAGGACAGGGATATCCTCAATACCCGCCACGACCACCTGGCGGTGGTCACATGCCTCCCCCGCCTGGATCTCAAGGACCTCCTCCACCAAATCAATACGGAGGCTACGGATATCAACCACCTCCACAATAGAGTATATTAATGTAAATTCATATAGTATTCACTCTAATATAGATGGTTTAATTGCAAGTTTGGAACAAATGGTATATCAAATTTTAATTTAATTCTTATTAGCGTATCGTCCAGTGTTATGTAACGTGGTAAATAATAGAGAATTATATATAAATAAGGAAAGGTATTGCTAAAATGTCGTCAGATTTATAAAAATCGTTTAGAATTTTTTTTTCCCAATAATGCTTGTTCTTCTCGAATATGATACACAGATTAATGTTATCGAAAACACTTTTCTTACTAAATAATAATTTCTATCAAATGTATATCATATACCACGTGGTCCAAATAAAATATTATAAGATGTTTTTTCAGAAACCAACGAAGAAACCATAGATAATTTTTCTTTTTTATTTAAATGGTTCGAAGGAGCGGGAGGGAATAATCGAATGAAAAATGTAATTCTTCCAAGCACAAAAGTTTCTAAATAGAATCGAAATAGCTTAGAATACTTGCCCTTAAACGTATTCGTCGAATCGATTTTAATTTGTTGTCATAATCATCTCAAAAGGATTTGTTCCCCTGGACCATTCAATTAAAAAAATGAAGTTGATATCTTCATTGGTTTAACCACATGGTATACGTATTTTAATCGGTTTAAAGACTTCAAAGTTCAATCTTTGAAAATTTTATTTTATTAAATGTAACGACATTCTAAAGCAATTTCTGTGTTTTTAATAACATTTTAGAACTATTCGATTAGATTATCGAAGTTTCAGTTTCGTATATCTAGTATATTTGTATTCCATATTCGTATACGTATACAGTCATTTTTATGTAATCATACTTCGTACGTTAAGGAAACTGAATCTTTATTATTTAAATTTGACAGACACTGGTTTATAAAGCACTTAACAACGTGCATTAACTGCTTGGATATTGGTTGTATATAATTCAGCATAAATGTATTTATCATACTGAGATAGAATGTATGAAACAAGGTACATAATGTACCAACTATTTACAGCTTCCAATATACACGTTTGCCTTAGAATTAATTTTATATTTACTTATCTAATTTTATATTTTCTTGATTGTCATTAAAAGATTCATGAATTTACAAATTGATTATTATCTTTTCCTTCGAAAATTCTTTTGGTTCGCGCACATGTAAATAAATTTTTCAATTCATAATTCATTTTAAAATTGCTTTATTCCAAATGGTTATTACTTACAACTTATAACTGTATTTGCTATAAATTACGAAACATAAATAGAAAAGTATCTTATAAATTTATACTTTCAAACGGTAAAACTCAAAGTAGCGTTTGTTAATAGTCGAATAACGTTCAAATGCTTTAAATCCAATCTTCGTTTTTCGTTTATTATTCACTGCATAACAGCATTATGTACAAAAAGTATATAAAGGTAAAAAACCGACAAACATTATTTTTGCATATACAGCTTATAAAAAATCAAATTGTATTATTAGAATCTTTAAAAAATACTGCAAAAACTAGAGCTCTTCTTTGAATTTTGCATTATCGTTGTAACATTTACAAGAATGTTTAGATTGCAGCACTTCTTCCATGTTATCCAGTACCTTAACTTTACTCTTTAAGCGTTTACTCCATTCCTAAAATGTAAAAAATCATGTTACTCTATGATATGTATTTAAAAAGAATAAATGAAGTTGAATCTCTCTAATTTTTAATAAAAACTCTTACGTCGAATAAAGCTACGTGATAACACAACACATCGCGTGCTAGCAAGTTGTCCCTTGCAAATTGTCTAGCATGCTTCGCAATTTGCGACGCTTCTTTATCGTGCCCTTTTGCCCACACGATCTTTTCAACAAGATCGGACAAATCTTTTTTTACAGGCACATAGTGTTTCCCAGGTACAAGATCATTGTAAAAGAATTCATAATACTTCGAGTTCTGTTTCAGTACTAAGGAATCCCCAGCGAGCAGATACGGAAATCGATATGCAGCTACCGTACCATCGATATTCAACTGATATTTGTACTGCACAAATGTTAACAATGTACTTGTAATTCAATTTATTAAAATTACGCGATATATATATCTATCTTTACCTTAAAAAAATTAAAGAAAGATATATGGCTTTGCCCAGGACCATACTTATCCATTTCGTCTTTAAAGAAGAAGAAATTAGTGATCGACACGTTAAATAAATCGGGATGTTTTCGAGAAATATCGATTAGATCTAGTCGTTCTCTACAAGAATCGCGACCACGCCAAAATACTTTTTCTATCTTTTCTTCCCATGGAGTGTCTGTATTACCTTGCACAGATAGCATGTCTAACGTTACCCTGTTTAATATATAATATCATTCAATACATAAATCCTTAGAACATTGTGACCTGATAGTAATAAACGTGATCAAATTAATACTTTTCCATTGCCCTTAAACATGATTCAGTGATGTCATAGGTGGGCATAACAATATCCTTTGTATCGGAAGAGCCACACCAAGAAAAGATGGGATAATTATTGCCCCCTTTTGGAACAAGTGGCCAATCACCCAGATTCACAAAAAATTCAATATCTGGCAAAATGACTTTTCGAACAATAGACAAGAGAGTGGCATCCATAAATATTTTGAAGCCCACATGCTGGCCATAGCATATCCTAAAAATCTTGTTTCACCTAGTTTAATTCAAATACAGTTTTAAGCAATACAATATAGCAGGGTGCTATGATACTTACTTTATTGGATTTGATTACATAATGACAAAGACTGACACTCCCTGGTCGATCGTACGTTTGTACGATGCTCTGACGTATTTTGTTGAAGTCTACATTTACAAAAGGAGCAAGATCCTGATGTATTTGAGAATAATTTTTGGAGCATTCTAAACTTTCTAACCAGTCATTGATAGAAGAGTTTGGACAATAACATTCTTCTTCATAAACTGGACCTAAGTTATTAAATAAAAAATATATAACACTATAGATTTATAGACTGTTATAGATTTATTAAATTTAATACCTTTTGACACCATGGACAAGATTGGTGAATCATGTTGCTTCATCTTAATTTCCAATTTTAAATTGAAACAAGTAGTATGCAATTTGTATCTAACAATAAAACTTCCATCCTTGCAGTCTAAAATTTGGGTCCATACAGGGCATATGTGCCCCAGTGAAGTTTGACCATGTATGTGAACAGTAAATACATCTTTTCCAGGTGATTCTGTTAAACTTAAAAATATTTCAAGCAACTGTTCAGCAAAAGTACAATGTAATTTAAATTCAATGTATTATTTAAAGAAAAGAAAACAAACGTTTTTTAAAACATACTTTTTCCCTTGTAAATCGATAAATTGTAAAAAAATATATCTTGCTCGCATCGTTATTTTATCTGGTTTCAATCCCGGGCCCCAAATTATTGTCTTTGACGGATTTATTTCAACATTTTTGCCTTCTTGACAGACAATCAGTAACAAGAACAATGTAAGTATCATTTTTGTCGTTCGCAATCGAGTACAATGCAAATCGATACACGAAGTGTCCCTGTTGCATAGAATCTTTTCAATCATAACAAATCTATAATTTCATAAAAAAATTCGTTTGTTTAAATATTGTTTTGCTCGAGTTTTATCGATCGTTATCATACGAATGTTTCGATGTACAAAACTTCTTACAGAAATGATTTATTTTTAAATAAATTCAAGGAACAACTAACAGAAACTATCTTAAAGTTAATTACACTTTATTTGGTGGAAAATAAACGTCTGTAAAGTGAAACTACTCGTGACTGTACGGCAGGATCGAAATGGCGGGATACTAAGCCCCGAATAAATACAGATTCGATAAAAGTGATGCACGTTACTGATTACATATTATAATTACGATGTTATAGGGGAAGAATCGATATGAGAAAATATGTAAAAATATCAAATAAGAGATACAGCGGAGTAATGAACGTCTGTTAGAAAATTACGATGTTTTATTTGCACTTTGCAGTCATTTACTTTTTAGCTGAAAAAAGTGTGAAACCGCAACATCGTTTGCAATTTTATTTTCATTCTTTATGAAAATAAAACTGTAATTAATTCTTATAGCATCTTTATTTTCTGTACACTGTACACTGTATTCAAATGTTGATTACTGCTATTGAATTCGATTTAAAATAATTTTAATCGCGTATCCTTCAATGTCAGCCATTCTCTTTTAATATTTTACTTGAAAATTGAGTTAAACATTTGAACAAATGTACAAATTAACGTATATACATTTATAACAGATATATTATCATTGACTTTCTACAATCTTATCGTATGATAGAACATAACCTGAAACCAGTAACGGCAATTCGGCAAATTGAAAGTTCGATTTGAATTCATTTCGCAACGCAGAAAAGTTAATTTATTATCTTACGTTTAAAAAAGTAATATAAGCGGGCATAAAAATGACTACAGCAAAGGTAATTTAGGAAAGTGAATAGAATAATGCGTCGATAAATAATAATTTATATGTATTTTATAATTTTAGATCGAGTTTGCAGTGAACATGACTTGTCAAAAATGCGTTGATGCAGTGCGTAATAGTTTGGCCGGTGTAAATGGAATTGAAAATATTGATATATCGTTGGAAAAGGGAAATGTTGTGATTGAAACTAATTTACCATATTCTATACTCCAAGAAAAAATCGAACAATCTGGAAGGAAAGCTGTTTTGAAAGGATATGGAGGTAAAAAACAACAACGTTTAATGGAACATAAAATATCAATGTAATAATGTTTTACACGATGTAAAGTTTTATGATTGTTTGTGTTGTAGATCATTCTAGTGCTGTAGCAATGTTAGGTGGAAATTCGGGCTATAGTATAAGTAATAATATAATGGGGGTAATAAGATTTGCACAAACTCCCAATGGCTGTGTTATAGATGGTACAGTCGATGGTTTAAGTCCAGGAGAACATGGTATACACATACACGAATGCGGCGATATTTCCAAAGGCTGTGATAGGTAAATACGGACGAGCATCTACTCTTATTTCCTACAATTTTTTACTCTTAACCACTTTTACATTTTACTTTTAGCGTTGGAGAACATTTCAATCCAAATAATACAGTACATGGTGGACCTGATGATGATGTAAATAAACGGGTAAAAATTAAAGCTCTTATTGTTAATATAAATATAAAACATATCATTGATTATTATATTAATATTCGTTATTTATAGCATGTGGGAGATCTTGGGAATATAACAGTAAATAACTTTGGTAGAGCTACTTTTAGAAGAACTGACAAACTCGTAGAAGTACCTGATATAATTGGAAGATCTTTAGTTATAACAGAGAATCCGGATGATTTGGGGAAAGGAAATTGTCCGGAATCTAAAATACATGGAAATAGTGGGAATAGGTAAAAATTTCCATTACATTCATAGGAATAATGTAGTAATTATGCCTAGCTTACGGTATTTTAAATTTATTTAAAATATTTTAGAGTGGCTTGTGGTATTATTGCTCGTTCGTCTAGTTTGTTTCAAAATACAAAAAAAATTTGCGCTTGCGACGGAGTTACCCTATGGGACGAAAGGGACAAAGTACTTTTAAATAAACAGGAGTCTAGTGATTATTCTAGAGCAAGTAATACATGTATTGCATTTTAAATCTTTTAGTAACTTTACACTACGATAGAAAATATAACAGTCTAGTCATGTTTATATAGTTCGAATATTAATTTTTTGTTGCATGTTTTCTACAAATATATGTTGTAATTATTTGTTTATTTAAAAAAAAAAAAAAATAGTAACAGATTTGGTTATATATAATTTATGAATTACATTTCATTTACAATTTATGTAACAATTTATTTACATAATTAATCCTTTTTAATAAAACCCTGCATTTTCTCCTTTTTCAGCAAAATTGTAAATAATATCAAGAAAACAGATTGAATTTAAAAAAAAATGAAACACATGAATCATTCCAGTAAAGTATCGTATGTATACCATAGATACATTATTAGATACTTTACATTGTTTAATAATTTATATCGGGCTTTAATTTACCTATTTTTACAATGTGTTATTATATTTTTGTATGGTTGTAAAAATAAAGAGTTGTTAATGTAACGATCCATCATTATATAACTTATCAAAAGCTTACATCGGTTATGCATAAAATATTTAAAGGGAAATGAAACTCTGGGCAAAGAAATTATAAAAGAGAAGACTGAAGTTGTTTTTAAATGTAATTTATTTATCATAATATTATCTATTAATCACAATAACTGTCAATCTCAGTGTAAACAATTGTCCAAAATAATGCGAACATTTAAAAAACGTATATGGATTAATAAAGCCATAGCGTAATATATCGATGTAAATATATATGTATATAATTTTTTTTACAGACGATTCGTATAAATCTTTTAACTATAAATAAATAATAATGTAATATATAAATAATAACTGTAACCACGGATGTAAAAAATGTCTAAAACCATTCAGAAAATATTTCACTGTCCGTTCAAATTATCTAACTAATTTCAATACATGATTGGTATTGCATTTGTGTTATTAGGTTTTAAAACACTTTTTTACTTTTTCCAATTATCAAAACTGGAAGTTGGTGGCATCCGGTAGCATTTCCACAGAGGAGAGTTGCAACATGATCTTTACTAATTTTGCAACTTGGTACTGTTCTTTCGTGCCGGGAAGCTGAAGTTTTCTGCGACAATGCTTTACACGATATACTTGTTTCATCAATGTTACATGCATTTTGTAACGCACAGCCCTTCTCGATTAAAAACTTATGAAGGTCCGTGGTCAAGCTTTCTGTAGCAATGTTGCTTGTTGAAAGTTTCTCCCCCGAGACATTTAATTCTCTGATACCGTGCCGCGATTTAAATTTTTCTAACCAACCACTGCTTGCTTTAAAGTTCGGGTTTCCCTTTAGTTTTTCATTAAATTCTAATGCCTTTTCACACAGAATCGGTCCAGATATTGGCACACCTTTGTCTCTGTTTTGTAGAAACCATTGAAACACGGCGTCGTCTACATTTTTATTCTTTGGCACCATTAAACTTTTTCTAGTGGTAGAAACATCTAAAGAATCTGCCTGAAGTAAATAATTCTCAATGGCACATTTTTGATTTTTGATGCCAGTGATCGTGGCTTTCCCGATGCCATAGATTTTGGCTAATTTTGCGGCACTCTCGCCATTTTCCAACTTTTGAATTATCTCGTGTTTTGTTTTTATACTCAACACTACACGTTTCCGTTTTGACGCCATTATTGTTGGAGTAAGTGGCAGGTCAAATGCGAGGAAATCTTTCAGGCGATATAACGAATGTATTTAACATTAATTTAACACATGTTATAATGTAATTTTCGAACTATTGTACACTTCTCTAAATTTATCAACTCACACAGTTATTCTTTATTCTTTTCTGTTATACATGTACAAGTCAGTCGCAGCCAGAATTGTACACTAAATAATAAAAAGATATTTGATTCGATAACGAAGTTTAAGAATGATTTGGAAAAAAAAATGTATTTTTATCTATTGTTTAGTAATATCAAAAGAAACGAAATTTCTCAAACGTAAAAAAGATTATGTTGCTGCGATTCAGTCTGGAAAACATCTCGCAGCTAAAATCATGCGTCTGCAGAAAATCGTTTAAAAGTTTTTCTCATATTATCGAATTTATAAATGAAAATAGAGATTTTGAGAATCGTAATATTTTTTCCCTCGAAAATTTCAAGCAGACAACGTCTTGCCCGCTCATTCGAATTCTGTGTCTAGCGATCGAACGGATCTCTCGAAAAATAATTATGTTTCACGGGTAAAAAAGCGACGTACTTTAATACGGTTTGTTTTAACATGTTAGTATCAGTAAAATTTGCGAACCTTTACCATTTTCTAATTTGGCGGTATCGGAGCGCCATCTTACGAATTGTTATAAGTTTATCAGATTTGTGTATGTTGAGGGGAGGGTGTTCACCAGTATTCACTTTTACTTGCTTTTCTGACAGTAGTGTTAGGAGAGGAAAGAACGGCTTGTAGACGTTATTTTTGCATTCGTTAACAGGCTGTTGATCCAGCCCTCATCATGGACGATTTACAAAACTACAAACTGCAGCTACAGCAGGTAAAAATATAGTTTTTCGTTTAACCTTACCTAAATGGTGGGAATGGCGAGTCCATTTTTGGCGATCCATTCGTTGTTTATGAAGTTTACAATCGTAAATGGCTTTTACGTTTTACCGATTTAGGTGGAAGCGGCTCTCACTACGGATCCTACTAATGAGGAGCTCCTGAAATTGAAAATTGATCTCGAGGAAGTAATAGAGCTGACACATGATTTAATTAAATCACAACAACAGGAAAAAAGGCAAGCCAATGGCATGGATGCTAAAGATCCTATTTTACTTGCAGTTCTGGCCAATAAATGGAAAGTTGGTGATCAGTGCATGGCACCCTGGAGCGAGGATGGCAAGTAAGTAGTTATCGCGTACAGTGACAAAAATAAGTATCGACACAGAACGGTTTAGCATACTGCGAACCTTGTTGTAATTTTTTAGTATAAATTTCAGCGAGCATATTTAATCAGAATCAATTAACATTGAGATAATGCTATGAACAGGAACTAACAAAGTAATATTACGGGGAAAATGAAATATTTGCAAACGATTTCCTTCGCGTTTCTAACTAGTTTTATTCTGAGAATTGCTCTGTGTCAATACTTATTTATCTAACAAGGAAAGAACTGTATACCTTTAACATTAAGCGATCGATAAAGTCTTGGATGAATTAATAACGTTTTATAGTTGTTATCTATTTTTCTCAGATATTATGAAGCAACCATAGATGCGATCAGTGAGGATGGTGTTGTTAATGTAACTTTTAATGAATACAAAAACACGGATGTCACAATGCTTAGTCAGCTAAAATCAGTAGCCAAAAGGCCAGCATCAGATTGGGCAGATCAGAAGTCGAAGTAAGTTGTTTGTAGTAGTATATATTTATTTTATACATTAGTAGCTTATAATTGACACAATCTCCCTTGCAATTTTGAGCATGTATCAGATTTTGAGGAACATTGTGGGACAAATTTGACAAAAAAACAATGATTACTAATCGTTCATTTCTTTCCTCATTCCTTTATTCCCAATTGGCCATGATAATCACTCCACTGTATGATGTGCCCTGATCTGAAATTCCATTATTGTTCATTTATATCTTGATGTCGCACTGTTCATGTACATCACCGGAACCCAGAAAAAGGTAATAGGCATTTTACAGAATAGTTGGAACTACTAATTATTTTTAATTACAGAATCACTGTCATTTCTCATATTTAAAAATGTTCATATGCCAGTACGTTCTCCAAACAGAAATATACTCTTGGTAATTCTGCGTGTGAGAAATTTATTAAATTTTGCAGAAAAATGCAAGCCGCTGCGGTAGCAGGTTCAGATCCTAACAAGCAAAGAGAATACCTTAAGAAAAAGAAACAAAGAAAGCTCCAACGATTTAAAGAACTTGAAGAGGAACGGGAAATGGAGAAAAACAAATGGCTAGCATTTACAAATAAGGTACTGGTGATTTTAAACCGCTATGAATAAATTGTACTTTTATTAATGTTTTATTTCCTTGTGCTGTACGAACAGTCTTCGAAGAAAGGTGTAATTAAGAAGAGTATATTTGCAACGCCAGAAAATGTAAATGGTCGTGTCGGAATCGGCACGTGCGGTGTAAGCGGTCGGGAAATGACTAAATTCAGCAATGGCGAAAAATGGAGGAGAGGAGCATGAATACTATTGTAAATACACAAATTAATATTTCGTGAAATAGAACTATCAATTATTGTTATATTACACCGATTTCAGTTTTGAAAAGAACTGAAGGAAAAAGTATGTTTTGTGTTGAGAGAATGTTTCAACAGAGCACATGGCCGAAGAGTGTGTAGCTGTATTTTCAAATTGTGCATAGATATTATGTTACGAAGGAACGATGACCTCGATAAATCCTGAAGTTATCTGGATTTTTTACCTTCTTGAAATGTATGATTGTCACGAATGGATGTATTTCTAGATTAATACATTTATGTGGGTATGATTTGTTTGTAATCTATAATTGACATGAATAAATGTATATTTTAAATCCAAATAATCTTCGGATTTGATTAAATATTTTTACGGAATAACAGGAAAGTTTTTGAATAAAATATTTTCTTTCAAAAAAATTTACTTTATAATCATAACACTTGGTTAGAAATACAGAGATGAAGTAATCAACTCCTACTCTAGTTGTAGTAGGTAACTAGTACAGTCAGTGTGCCCAGATTTGGCATAATTGAGTGCATCGACGGCGACACCAGTAACGACGAACTTCCTTAGCGTCTAACGGAGGCATGTTAGCGAATACCCGTTAGAAAAATAAAAAATGGTCGATCTATCCTGGAACACGTCACCAGTAGGTGATACATTTAAAGCGATAAGGGTGATATAAGGTGGGAAATAAACCGAAGAAGATGCATTTTCCAAATTACGATATCAATGTGAAGGCCTACAATATTTATCGCTTCGTTTAAATGCAGGAATTGTATTCTAACCTGTCCCAATAAATATTATCAACAAACACTAAGTATATCTAATATATTTTCACTTGCTATTACTGTAAAATAACTCGCTGATTTGATCATGGTCGCATAAAACTTTTCTTTAGAAGTATTGGAAAAACACTTTGTACTTCTGTAACCAATTCAGAGATGAAGATACTTGGAATAAACCTTTGTCATTATCTGCCAAGTTTGCTGCTTCTATAAAGCTGGAATTGAAAATAGGAGACTGGATATAATTGTTAACAAGAAGTATTATATTATAAAAAATACTGCGTTCGTATGAAAGAAACTATGGAGTCAAATGAAAGAAAAGAATTACCAAATGGAAATACCACGAACAATAGGGACATAGATTGGTCCAGATATGGTTTACACAATACAGAAATGCAAAGAAACAATGAAACACGGAGGAATAATGGAGAGTATGAAGAACTTGGACCTGAAATGTATCAAACTGGAGCAAATGAATTGTTTGCGCAAGAATATGTAAGCAAGTATATGAGAATGTAATTACACTAATGCTCTTGTTTCCCTCTTGAAATATGTATCTTTTCAGAGTTCTGATCCTTGGTGGAAATCAAACTTTTTCATTTCTCAACCTGTACTATTTGGAACATGGGATGGTGTATTTACATCTTGTCTTATCAACATCTTCGGAGTTATTGTATTTTTAAGATCAGGATGGATTGTAGGACAAGCTGGTGTTCTTAATGCTATACTAATAATCTTGTCTACAGGTAATAACAATAGTACTTTTAAATATTGATAATTATACAATGATATATTTTATAATTGTTTCAGTGTGTATAGCATTAGTGACTGTGCTGTCTGCTGTGGGAATATGCGAACGATGTAGAGTAGAAAGTGGAGGAGTGTACTTTTTATTGTCACACGTGTTGGGATCAAGATCTGGTGGATCTATAGGATTACTGTACTGTTTCGGACAGGTAAGATAATTTATACCGCGATAACATTATTCAAAGGTGTACTTTGAAACTTTCTTTTAGGCAGTGGGTTGTGCACTGAACGTTCTAGGTTTTGGAGAATCTATGGCTGGTCTGGTAGGCTTAGAATCTGCTTGGGCAGAACGTGGTTTTGCTTGTGCGGCTGTTATCTTGTTGTCTATTATCAATGTTGCCGGCGTCAAGTGGGTTATAAAACTCCAATTCATTTTGTTGTTAATTTTACTTCTGGCCGGGGTAGATTTTATAGTTGGAAGCTTTACACACGTGGATGTTGGTAAGATGACATACTATTATTTGCGAAACACCCTGTATTTAGTGCTAACTTATAACACGTGATTTTCTGAATATCATAGAGGCTGGTTTCGAGGGTTGGTTGTCAGGAAATTTAAGAAACAATACGTTCCCTTACTACCAAAATGGATACAGCTGGTTTACAGTTTTTGGAGTATTCTTTCCCACAGTAACTGGCGTTTTAGCTGGTATTAATATGAGTGGAGATCTGAGGCATCCATCCACTGATATTCCCAATGGCACCTTAGCTGCAGTAGGAACCGGGTAAAAATCATAATTAATCGTACATCGTTATAATATTAATTACAAATCGTCAATTTAATTTCAGAACGGTTTTGTATCTATGCTTTATAATGTTTCTTGCGGCAACTTGTACCCGTAACACTCTTCTTACGAACTTTATGATCGCGTCAACGGTATCAGCGATTTCAGTATTGCTGTTGGCAGGTCTTTACGTGTCGTCGTTTAGCAGTTGTTTAGGTGCTATGTACGGCACGCCTCGTGTTCTTCAGTCTATTGCTAGTCAAAATGTTATACCGGGAATGAGTTGTTTGCAAAGAGGGGTGAGCATATTTCTGTAATTTATTACAAGAACTAAATAACTGTATTAAAATTGTACAAATATTTCAGAGAGGACCGAACAAGGTACCTATATACGCAATGTTAGTGGTCGCCGTTGTTACATTGACATTCATTATTACTGGTCAGATTAACACACTCGCTCCAATTGTTACAATGCCTTTTCTCTTGACGTATGCATGCTTAGATTACGCGTATTTCGCTCTCGCGCAAACATTCGATATACAACTGACTCGAGAACAGAGATTTCGCACACAATCTCCGACGTTTGATCGTAATTATGGCTATACGAGTAGAAATAATTCGTTAACAGATACGAATAACGATTTGGATAATTTGTTTCCCGAAAGAATAAGGCATAAAAATCTTATCGTAAGTATATGCGTATATTTGAATGATTATTGTATTATGATAAAATGAAAAAATATTCTTCGATTATTCGCAGAGAAATCCCAGCACTGAAAGTAATGTCTACATAGATTCTTCGCCAAGTGTCGATGAAAACGGTAGTGTTGTGGAAAACTCTGAACGAAAAGTTCACATTCATAATAAGTTAGGAAATTGGTACAGTCCTTTGTGTAATAGATGGCTTTCGCTGTTAGGAGTAAGTTTCTGTCCTGAAAGTCCTGAACCCTTTTCACAAATTCAGTTTTAACAAGTATTTATCTTACAGTGCCTCGTAAAATTGCTTATTATGTTTCTTGTTCATTGGGGATACGCTATTGCAAATATTGTCGTCGTTTTTCTCGTTTGGAGTTACGTGGGCCATGCGAATCCTGCTGTTAAGCCAGGTGTTTCATCCGAATTTAAATTCTGTAATTGGCTGAAGACGTCATTATTAAGGCTTATGGGGTATTTATTATTGGCATCATTACAATAATTTTCTGGTGAAATATCTTTAGGAAATGTGAAACACTTGTTTCTTAATTTTAGGAGAAAAGTGTATGACTATGAACAAATTGTTGTTACACCTGCTCACCCGGGTGTCGAAACATGTTCGGCCCAATTGAACGAGGAAAATGAAGATTTTGCTGGTAGGCGAAGATACCATCAAACAGCTACTGTTACGGGACAATATGTCAGTGTCGAGTGAATGTAAAATACCGAAAGATAATTTAGAAACATGTCTGATTAATGATGATTGTAATAATCAGGAAGAATCGTGTGGGAATCATATTAATTTCGTATCGTAGCCTACAATAAAATAATAGGAGCGTTGCAATTTCTAATGCTGTTAACCGCACAAAACTAGTCTAATTAAAAAAGAATTTCATATCTTAGGCACAAGGAATTTTTTGTAAAGTACAACAGAGTAGCCTTAAAAATACTAATCTATACAAGAAAAAAGGGTATATGCAGCTGAATTATACAAAGAAATGTTAACTTTTTCTAACAATTTATGTGATGTATACCAGATGCAGTTGAAATAATGTACTGCCAGAAGCATTTCGAAAATGCAGGGTCCATTTCTTCGCTGAATTATTTTAATAATTGTGTCTTGTAATGTGAGATTATTTATTCTTTTATAGTCCTACTATTTCGTAGTTAGGTTTTAATTGTAATACCGTAAATATCATATGAATGTATCCGAGAAGAAATAACATTTACGATATCATGCTATTTATAACGAATATTGTGTAAATATGTAGTGATATATATTTATATGCTATTTAACATTTTTATAAACGTCTCTGCAAAGGCGAGTATGTTATTAACAAAATACACAAATATAGATTGCTAGAGAATAATGTTTTTGGTAATCGCAAATGGACTTATATCATTTTCATACTTATCGAATTTTAAAAATCATAGGTGTCGCTGCTAGATGAGTCAAGTAGTTGCGAGTGCGAAGGTACATGGTACATGTGTCATTTCAGTAGGTTAACCTAAAATTGAATCTTCTTTTCGTAACAACAATAAGGCATTTTAAAGACAGACAGTTGAATAAACTATCATCGTTTGCGTGAAGTAGTTTTTAAAAATACCATCATGGTTAAAAAAAGAAGAGGTAGGTAGTATTACGATATGAAAATTTACGTTGTTATGTTTCGTTAACTATATACTGGTCCATTCATTTATTTAAAAAATAAATTCATATTTATTATTTTATGGTGACACTTTATTTCTTTTTAGAATTCAAAGAGAGTAAAGAGGAACGTATGGTTATGACAATCGGAGAAATTATACAGGAACTACTGAAAGCGCACGCAGAAAATCGAGACATTGATTTAAATAAACTAAAAACTCGAATCGCTTCTAAATATGGGTTAGAAAATTCACCCAGATTGGTCGATATTATAGCAGCTGTACCTATCGACGCTAGAAGCATATTAGTACCAAAGTTGAAGGCAAAGCCGATTAGGACTGCTAGCGGCGTTAGTATCTTAACGTATTGTAATTTGCAAAGGAAATAGTAATTAACAAAGCTGTTACTAAACTTAACAGATAGCGGTTGTAGCTGTTATGTGCAAGCCACACAGGTGTCCTCATATTAACATGACAGGAAACATTTGCGTCTATTGCCCCGGTGGACCTGATTCAGATTTTGAGTATTCTACTCAATCGTACACTGGATACGAGCCCACATCTATGAGGGCGATTCGCGCAAGATATAATCCATTTTTACAGACACGGCATCGCGTCGAACAGGTGAAACCAAAAACTAGTGAAACATTTGTATATAAATAGAATTTCGCTACACAATGATGTTAAATATTGTTACAGCTAAAACAACTAGGGCACAGCGTAGATAAAATCGAATTCATTGTTATGGGAGGTACTTTCATGTCTTTGCCAGAAGACTACAGAGATTTTTTTATTCGAAATTTACACGATGCATTGTCCGGACACGTCAGTAGCAACGTCGACGAAGCAGTAAAATACTCCGAAAGAAGCAAAACGAAGTGTATTGGAATCACTATAGAAACACGACCCGATTATTGCCTTAAAAAACATCTCTCTGATATGTTGCGTTACGGGTACGTGTAATACAGAATCATTTATGATAACAAGTTTTAATTCCTTTAATTTTAAGTTTGAGAAAATATTTCATATAGGTGTACTCGTTTAGAAATTGGCGTACAATCTGTGTACGAAGACATAGCTCGAGATACTAATAGAGGGCACACTGTACGTGCAGTATCCGAGAGTTTTCAGTTATCAAAAGATGCTGGCTTTAAAGTAATAGCACACATGATGCCGGATTTACCAAATGTGGACATTGAAAGAGACATTAATCAATTCATTGTGAGTCGTAATTTTGTTATTAGTTATTGTCTCTCCACTATTTTGCGCAGTTTCAAATTTTTAAAATTTTTAGGAATTTTTTGAAAACCCGGCTTTTAGAGCAGATGGTCTAAAGATTTATCCGACATTAGTTATACGTGGTACTGGTTTGTACGAATTATGGAAAACTGGAAGGTATAAAAGTTATCCTCCAAGTGTTTTAATTGATCTTATAGCCCGTATTTTGGCACTGATACCACCTTGGACACGCGTATATCGTGTACAGCGAGACATACCTATGCCTTTAGTTAGGTAATTTTAATTATGATTCTGTTAATATTTCCTTATACTTGTACTTTATATATATATATAGTTCAGGCGTAGAGCACGGGAATTTACGTGAATTAGCATTAGCGAAAATGAAGGATTTGGGAGTCGATTGCCGTGATGTAAGAACTCGAGAAGTGGGAATTCAAGAAATACATCATAAAGTACAGCCTTATGAAGTAGAACTTATACGACGCGATTATGTTGCAAATGGTGGGTGGGAAACATTTTTGTCGTACGAAGATCCTACACAGGATATTTTGGTTGGTTTACTGAGATTGAGAAAATGCTCCAGTGAGACTTTTAGGTAAAGTATCATTTATTTGAAAATCTTTAAAACGGAATAACTGTATTGCTAATCAATTGATTTTTGCAGGCCAGAACTTAAAGATAAATGTTCTATAGTCAGAGAACTTCATGTGTATGGCAGTGTAGTACCTGTAAATGCTCGTGATCCTACAAAATTTCAGCACCAAGGTTTCGGAATGCTATTAATGGAAGAAGCTGAAAGGATAGCAAGAGAGGAGCATCAATCTCATAAGATTTCCGTTATATCAGGTACAAGTAGAAATGAAATAGCTATTTTTCATTATTTTACGTTTGCAAGAACCATTGTAACAACTATTTTCTAGGCGTTGGGACACGGAACTATTACAGAAAGATGGGTTACGAACTCGACGGTCCATACATGTCTAAAATGTTGGTAGATTGCAAATAAACTTCGATCACGTGCATAGAATAAGAAACATGTAATTATTTTTCTTATCCTTTGTTACGAACAACCGTAACAGTCTTTCTATCAATAAAGAGAAACCGATACTTTGATGTAAATTGTGCTATAATATAAAATGATAACGTATCCGTTATCGATCGTTTTATCAATCGTGTAACGTAATCGCGTGCATGTACTTGAACACACACACACATACGCTTATCAAGTGTTTTAAGTTTCGAGTTTTCATTGTCTTAAAAACTTTGAATCATTTGAAAGCTGAAATTCGAACGACCCGATCCTGATTATCACTATGGGATCCCCTCCTCTTTACGCGCCACCTGCAGTCACGAGTCGGAGAGAGAGTAAACAAAAGCGACTCGCATTCGTGACACCGCTGTCGATCGGTGAACATCGTGATCTCGTTGAAGCGGTTCGCGTTGTGATGTGTGTTTGTTCAAATTCGACTCTACCGCGAACGCGCAATTCGGCAATAACGAATTACGGCGTGTTTGTTCAACGTTTTAGCATCCGTACAACGAGAACGAGGATGTCGAGCAAAGAGTGGATCGGTGAACGCTAGATGCGAGGACATTTTGGAGAAATCTTGTCAGGCGGTTTCCGAAGGGAAGCGGACGAAGTATCCTGGCGCCAAATCGTGAAAAGGTAAGGGAATTACACGAAATTACGAACATTGATTGATATTTAGGTTAGGTTCTAGGTTAAAATTTATTTCTCGTGTTTTTACCCGGTCGTTTCATTGCCCGACAAAGACCACTGCTTTCTCGGTGGTTTTGAAATTTCGTTCGTGTTTCTGTTTCGCACTGTAAATGTAACATATTGTAGCAGCGTGTACGCGATTTGACGTTCTGTTGAAAGATTCAGTGTTTTGGATAGTTGCACATTGCATCGTTAGCGAAGTTACGCTGTGCATAACGTTACAGTGTTATGTAAACAAAAAGGGAAACTCCTCCGACATTCGCGATTACGATATACATATGTACGTAATCCTGTTCTGCTATGGTCTTCGTCAGGGATGGACAAAATTTTATTTATTTCATTGGTGTTCGGTACATACTTGATAATGGATTGTTTAGATCTTGCACACGTTTCTAAAACTCACATCCTTTAAACGTTTGCAAGTAATTTATTGGAAGGCCAAGTTTACAAACATGGAGAAACGTAATAATTGTTAACGATAAAAAGGAATGCAGTTAAAGGTCTTTTAGAAACATTGGCTTTAACAGTTGAAGTTATTTGCACGATGTTTTCTATCAGTCCGCGAATCTGATTATATTTCATTGAGTCATTGAAATTCGCAACTCGAAAAGATTGCCTTTGTTTTGTTGCACTTAGTCAGGTAGAAAGATGATATCTTTCAATCGCGAAAGATAAATCGACAGCTAATGCAGCATACATACAAGCACACAGAAATTTATTGACATCGGAATCTTTATATTAGACTTTGCAAAATGTTTTTGTCTGATATTAAAAAATTCAAAAGTCAGGTTAGGCGACACACGGATGAAAAGCAATCTTAATAACATTCACGGTTACATAATTATTATTTACATCGTAGTAGCGTTCGAAAATATTTCGTACAGGAAAACCATAGATTCACGAAGGGGGAAATTCCTGAAAGGATCAGTATACTTGTAAGGAGATAGATGGCGGAATGGTTAGCGCGTTAGTCTGTTATTTGCAATAACAGAGGTCGAACAAGGAGAGGTCGCACCTGTAGGATCAACGATTTCATTCGAACATTTTCCGATGATTTCGGAGCAAATTACGAGCTTTTCTTCGCCAATGTTCGTTAGTTACGAACAGAATTAATGTAACAGTTCTCGTTATTTAATTAGACAAACTTAACACTAGATTGCCCGAGGAAGTAATTTTGACTGCTTTTTAATTTCAATTAGAAAAACAATTATGTATATAATGACACAATTTCTTAGAATTTTGTGACTTTTTGCACAACATATAAATGCGTTTATTAATAATTGTAGTTACCTCCCCCCTCCTTCATTCCCGGTATATGTGTTATACCTATATCGCCCAAAAGCAGGACGATATCATTTTGACTGCTTGGGAAATTTTAAATAATCAAATGACTCTTATTATTGAATTGTGTAAATTTCTTATATGACCAGTTCGACTCTGTATTGAAATAACAGTTTTCATTTTTTTTCGATTACCAACACATGATAACATACAAGTACATGATAAATTGTCGATTTGGGCGTACCTAACCCAGACCTAACCCAGACATAACCCAGACATAACCCAGACATAACTCAGACCTATTGATAAATTTCAGTTTCTCAATAAGCTAAAGTAGTACTTGTTATTCGAATCTTTATGCAGTGATACTTGTTCTAACAAGTTGTTTATTTTATTTCTGCGCCCTAAATTCATAATATTAAAAATTAATTTTAAACAAATTTCTTTACACATCAGTTAGTCTTTCACAATGCACTTTGACTGCTTTTGGGCAATATTGGTATATACTAAGTTTCAGTCTTTCTAGTGTTAAAGTAACAATGTTATCGTCGAGTTACATCATTCTAATTACCGATCGAAATCCATGATAAGTTCTGGTCGAACGATAATTCTTTCGCGCGTGAACACGTTACGGGCGTTCATTGTATCGTGCCTACGTGTTGCATTCTCCGATAATGTGTATCGCGTGTGTCTATCGTGGTCCACGAAAAACACGTTGTGTTTCGCGATAGTTTTGGCTCGATGCTCACGATATATTCGCAAAGTGGCCGCGAGTCATGAATTCGTCTCCGACCAGCCAATTGGACGACTCGCGATCTATAGTAAATATCCGGCTACTATTATTAAGTTTGTCCTTAACGATCGTTACGAGTATCGTCTCGCAACCATTAGCTCCCGTTGTACGAATGGCACCGGAGCGGTTCGCGAACCTCGCGAAGTTATCGGTTCGGGATCTTATGACGGCGGTGTGTTTACGTCATTCGTGTTAAGTGCCTTTAGGATTCGTGCGAAAGTCTGCCGGGAATATAGCCATCGCGACGATCCTGAGGAAACATCGTTGTCGCGAAGTATCGCTAGGTAAGCTTCAACGAGTTGCAAAACCAGTGTCGTAGAATAGTTATAATGACAGTGCACGTAACAATATAAATATACAGGACGAATTGCGTGCTATGTTACAAGCTGCTTTCTCGAAGCCATTAGTAATATTGACAAAATTTCGTTTGAACATCGTAACAGTGGATGGGACCCTTTTATATCACATACGGGGTACTGAAGGGAGGGGGGGGGGGGTGATACTCTAGCGTGTTAGAGGGCACGATTCCGCCTTCTGTCAAGTAGAATGTTATATAAACTTGGTACACGGTTCCTGAAAAAATACCTTGACGCGATTCAAACATTAATACAAGGGTTATGAACGAATTCTATTGCTTTTTAGTAAGCTGATACGAGCTTCGAGTGAACTTATATCGGAAACATTATATTTAGAACGACTTGGCGTGAAGTTCGCGTTTCTGGATATTCTTCCTGATGAATCATCTTAACGCGACATGTATCTTGTATTTTCGAAACGTGTATTCAGGATCGTGACAAGACAGGAGCAAAAAGGGCACGTGCTCCTGGCCACTGCGTTACGAAGACGCTGATTGCTATAATTAAAACTCTTTTTTTCATTTCAGTTTAGATAACGTGGAAGAGGCGCCAAAACGTCTAGGCGCGGCCCTGCGTGCGTGCGGTCGCGGGGCACAGAAAGTCCTGTGTGCGTATTTGCCGTTACGAATCGTTCGTAAATGTTTCAAATTATTGTTAATTACACTTTTTACGTAAATGCGACTGGCTCATTGTATCGACAGATAACGAAGTACTGCCCCGAGGGGTACTTAATACGCGTTAAAGCGAACGTACTCGCGTATTACCATACCGCTGTTTATTCAAATAACACGTTATACACACAACGACTTACAGCGAGAATTTCTAGTATCGGGTTCGTACGCCTACGCCGAGCTAGATAAGAGATCGATATATCTGTACGATTTTAAAAGTGGAACGCACCACGGCAATTAAGTCCAAACGTGTTTGCTTACTTCGACAAACGGTGGTGACGTTGTGCTAGCCGAATGATCGAGGGACGCCGGCTTTCGTAATATTCGAGGAAACAAAAAGTTAAAGAGCTCTAGTTTCCGCGTATATAAAATAACGATTAAAATAATACTTAGGATTGCTTTTGTTGTCGAATCAAAGTAACGGTGTCAAAATTGTTGCATATGTGGCGCCGCCTCCCATGCTCGCCACCAGAGGGGTCGCGCTCTCACAAGCGCTCGACCGACTCCTCGGTTGCTATATATACGATCCTCGACCGACTTCCTAATACCCCACTCGTTTAAGGCAGGGCCTGTTAGGAAGCCTTATTTGATGAGTCCTACTAGCCAGGCCCGGCGAAACGCCGCCACCTCCTCCTCCTTTCCTTTTCTGTCTTACGATTCTCACGAATTCCTACCCGCAACAGAGCAGCAACGCCACACATATAAAAATTACAATTGCAAAATCCTACCTCGGCGTGTTGCAGTTTGAAGCAACCATCCGAGAATAGGCTCGTTACTCGCATCCTTCGTCTCGTTTTACGTTCCCCCTTCAGGATTCTTTTTCGACATTATGCGCAGACGTACTCGAATTTGCATCTTTGTTCAGCGAGAGAAGTAGCTCGTCGGTGCATTTACCAGGAATGCACGTTGTTATGCCTGCACGCCTACATGCCGGCCAGATAAGACGTCGACATGTGCGCTGGAACATTGCCGGAAAGTGGGACACTCCTGGTTGACCATGAATTTCTTGCTAAGCTTCACGGATTTACGCTTTAACCGTCGTGTATCGTGTTCCATGGAATCTAGACGGAATTAATTCGGGGATTAATTCGAGCCCGACGCCTTCCAACGACATTTAACCGTAATTTTTTAACCAACTCGTTACTATCATCGACGACGCGGTTAACGATAGAATTTGATCCAAATCTTCTAAAAATTAATCGCGCATTACTCGACACCAAAGAGATTTATATAAATATTGTTGATCGTCGATTCTTATTTTGAAGGTGCAGAACACAAATGGACGTCGATTGAGAACCGCTGTAGCAAGTAAATCTGAAGTTTGATGGACACTGTCCAATTGCTCGACACAGATCGATACCCATCGATACAGAGGTGAAACTCAATTCCGTGATGAAATTGGAACGTCATACTGATTGTTGATTGTTCATTGTGCAAAGTTATCGGGACTTTGCGCGTACATTGCATTTAACGCGTGATTCCTGCCGATGGGTAATAATACTATAACGTCTTTGTAGTTACTTGACATAGAAATTCCTCAAACATATTTCCACGTATATTTCGGTAACTGATAAACTTGAGTACTTGTGCATATCTAGCAAAGTGAACTACAGAGTGATAGCGCGTTAAGTAATCTTTTTAATTTGCGTAATTAAATAGTAATAGTTCTTGTACAAAGTATTGTGGCGTCGCCTCCCATGCTCGCCACCAGAGGGGTCGTGCTCTCACAAGCGCTCGACCGACCCCTCGATCGCTATATGTACAATCCTCG